AAATGAGATAAATATGCCATCTTTAAACAGATTCTTGACACAGTTAACTCCCTTCCTAGACCATCATTGGAATGCTGAATCTATAAAAGAAGGAGGGAATAACGGATTCAACAAAATGGAAGCAGAAGGCAATGCTTGTTTATTATTAAAGTGAAGTCTGAATTGTGACCATATTTAATAACTGGATTATTTATAGAATATTGTTTACTCACTAGAATCTGAGCACAAAGTAGTGAGAGTAAAAACACTGGATTAGACGTGTGCTGTTCCATCCGTAACCAAAGTGGAGCCTCATCTTTACAGATGTTGGAAAACCAGAATATCAGTTTGTGTAAATTAGCCACCCAATAATAGTATAAGAAATTTGGCATTTCAATCCACCCTCTTCCTTTTTTCTTTTCAAGAATTACTTTCTTATGTGAGTAGAAATACAATTATTTAAATGAAAAATGACTTGGGAATAAAAACAAGCACGGTCTGAAATAGAAACAGAAATCTTGGTAGTATTGTCATTTTAATAAAGTTGATCTTCCCAGCCAAAAATAAAGGGTTGACCACCACCTCATGTCTCATTTGGATTTGTCTAAAGTCGTTTTAAAATTACTATTGAACAATTCCTTATATTTGCATGTCACACTCACACCCAAATATACAAATTTATCAGGACTTACTGTAAATGGAAAGGATTGGAAGGACATTAGCTGTGCTTTATCATTGATAGGGAAAAGGAGACTCTTTGCTAGATTGACTTTGTATCCAGAAACATTTCCAAATTCTGAAATTATTGTAAAAACTTTTGGAATACATGTATCTGGATTTAACAGAAAAAGAAGAAGATCATCCGCATATAGCAGGACCTTATGTTCTTGTCCCCTAAAAATTCCTTGCAAGCCATCGGAGTTCATTAATATGGTTGTAAGAGGTTTGATGGCAATGTCAAAGAGCACAGGGGACAGAGGGCAGCCCTGTCTCGTTCCCCTAGAGCAGGCATGTCCAAACTCGGTCCTGGAGGGCCGGTGAAACCCGGAAGTATCGCCTGGAGCCACACAGGAACATTTTGTACCTGGCTGTATATCTTAAATCACAATCATTTCTGGTGGGCACCAGTCAACACTATGGCAAATCAGCACCGTTTAAGAACACGCTCGGTGGCACCTACATGTTAGCGGGAAATGGACATTTTTAAAACTTCAGTACCGGGACAACACTATTACAGACAACACGAGGGTGTGATGGTGTTTTATCGCTCACTCGGTTACATAGACTGAAGCAAGGAATCGTCCCCACAGAGTTTACCAGGTGCCATGAACTTAATCCTAGGAAGACACTTAAGCGTATAACTGTTAAAGAGATTGTAATTAAGTTTGATGGCTAATCTGCTTTTAATTGTTTAAATTAAACTGAACTGAATTATATTAAAGTGATCTTTACAAATTGCGGCAACAGCTGGAGGTTTGTAGTCCACAGCATGTTGTTGCAATGTTTACAGTGCTGATCCTATACTTCCATGTTTTTTTCCCACCGCAGCCTAGCTTTCGTTCTTTAAAATGGTGGCAGTGTGAAATAAGCGTACTCTCTTCCCAACAACCAGATGTCATTGTTCCCTCATGCATTTGTTCATTCAGAGATGCCTTTTGACATGGAGGATCACCAGAAAATGACTTGCAAAAGGAATGAAGCGTCTGCCCCCTCTATACATTTTTGGTCAGAAAGTCTGGTTGTCTTCCAGACATTCCTCTCAGTTTAAAAACATTCATCCATTTTCTTTAGGTGTCTAAGATCAAACCCATTCTTCTCTCCCCCCTGCAGCCCATAACCTCTGCTTCTCTGCCTCCCAGACAGGTTGAGGGTGCACTCACATCAGGCCCGGCCCTAACCAATTTGGCACCCTAGGCAAGATTTCAGGTGGCGCACCGTGACATCGCAGTGAATTATAATGCTAGTGTATAGTCATAAGAAACTAAATAGCTTTTTGATCGACTACTTCAAGCTGGGAAAACATCAGATAAATATGCCAATGCAATTAACATTATTGCTGAATAGATCTAATATTTACACATTAGCTTGTGGAAGGAATGATGTGGGTATGCCCTTCCATAACATTAGCTGACTTTAAGCCATTACTAATCTGTCAATGTTGAGATGTAAAAAAAAATATGGGACAACAAATAGCTTCAAATGACAGAATACGTAGCAAACATTAGAAAATATTGACAATAAAATAAAAGGTTTAGCCTATTAAAATCAATGGCCTATACAGAAATTAAATAAAGCTATAAAATCTACTTTACTTTTAATTGTATTTGCATATTGATTAAAGTTACTATAGTTATTTAGTGAAGAGCAGCAAATGAATCTCATTGTGTTTTGTTTGATAACAGAGGTGTTTATGTAAGAATGCACAGATCTATAATGAAGCATTTGACTACTTTAGTGACTGTGTGCTCATTTAAGGGACAATTAGTTGTGTTTTAAAAAAAAGTGCAGGACGGAGCAAAAAATAAATAAATAAATTTAAAAATCATAAGGTCCATAGTGAGTCTTAAAGGCTGATTTATACTTCTGCATCAAACGTCGGCGTATGCTACGGCGCTGACCCATAGCCCTTCGCCGTGGCCGTCGCTGTCACTGACGTGCACCTCTCAAAATATGTAACTACACGTCGCAACGACGCGTAGCGTAAGCTCTGTGATTGGTCGGCTTGGTATCGCTGACGAGTCTGGGTGGGACCGAGAGCCGCGCGAATGGTGCGAGCGATTGTTAACAAGTGTGGAGTCCCGTGAAGGAGCTCCGGATGGAAAGTTTTGTTTTGTGTTTACATCATAGTTAACGTAGTTGCACGTCCGCCGGTTCCTGCCTCAAAATGAGCGAGTTTGAGCCACTTGTACATCCCGGAAGTGTTCAGGAAAAGCAAAAAAGCAGAGAAGAAACTCGACACAGAGGAACATTAACACCTCACTGCCCACTAGCGTTTCGGAAGTGTTAATGCAGACCGACAGAGACAGCGCGCAGAAGTATAAATGCACAGCCACGGGCGTTGCCTGCGCCGTGGGTTACGCCGGTCACTTGACGCAGAAGTATAAATCAGGCTTAAGGGAATGCCAGGGGGTGTTCTTGAGGGAGGGGGTACTGTCACTGTACCTCAAGCTTTTGCTCTCTCCTCCTGTTCTGGGTTACAGATTATCTCTTGTCATCGGCTTTTATTTGCAGTCACAGGAGCTCTCGTTTCCCTTTTTTTCTGTTTATACCACATCATTTCCCTTTATGTTTGTCAGTAGGTTATCGATTGTTTGTGTACATATTTTGTTACTTATCCTGTATTTGTGTCCAGGACTGCTAGTGAGCGAGTGTCTGGTTGTTTTTTCCCACGGCATTTCCTTAGCGCTTGTAGTGGTTTTCTTGGTTTTTCTCTTACTCAATCAAACTCAGTCTGGAGGTTATGAATATCAGAAGAATATACTTTATTGTCGACAACAAAGGAGAACTTTCAGGAGACCCCCAGTAGCATCTCTGTCTGAAAAATTCTGTGTCACTCATCTTCTGCCGTCCTTAAATACTCTGTTTTTGCCTTTGTTGTACATATGTCACACAAGATCCCTCCTAGATTAACCCTTGGCTCCAAATTCCACCTCTGTCATCTGTTTTTCCCTTATTTCTACATATATCACACAAATTCCACCTAGGTTAACCCCTGACCTCAATTTCCACCTAGATTAATCCCTGACCCAAACCTGGTAACTATATAACTTATCCAGTTCTTGTGATATGGTAATTCTTCTAATGGTATGCAAGTCTACAAGCAGATTATATACATACACATTGAATATATATATATTAACTTCACACTTTAAAGAGTATAAAATCCACTTCACGCTCACCCGACCGGGTGTTTACTTTGACTTTCGCTTTTTCCAGGACTCACTCCTCAATGAAGACTTGTTTTTCTGCATTTGAGTTCACTCTTTTTATTTTACTAGTGACACAAGTATTTTCTTTCTTATTTGAGTTTAAAAGTCTTTAGTTTTTGACATGATGTCTAGCTTTTGAGGCACTTTTGGTCTACTTCACTTTGTCAGACAGGTCTATTTTGGTGATTTCTTGATTGTGAACATGCATGGTAGTAATCAGGTCCGGGTGTGGCTAGAGAACTTGAAGTTGGTGTGAAGTTGTGTTTTAATGGGGAAAAACATTTTCACACAAGGCTATGTAGTTCAGTATTTTGTTATCCTTTTAAGAATAAAAACTTTTCATTTAAAAACTGCACAATGTGTTTAATTGTGTTATCTTTGGCTAATATTTACATTTGTTTGTTAATCTAAAACCATTAGGTGCTAGAATTCTGCATTGCAATCGTTACTTGCAAATTACTAAACCAAAGAACATTTGTTGTTTAAAGGTGCAGATTTAAGGCTTTATGCAGATATGTCTCATGTATGTGAGGCAAATATTCAGAGATTCAGCTGTTCTTTCTAACAGGTTTATCAGTCAGACACAGAATGAAAAAGCATTCCCCATCTGCTTCACAAGTTTTGTAAAAACTTGTTGTTTTATTGTGATTATGCATACATACAAATAAAAAACTATCCCTTTACAGCTTTCAAATTGATGTCTCAAAAATGATCTGGGATCAATCAAATAAGAATCCGCTTAAATGTGTATGTGTGTAATGGACACCAGGAGGTTGATATGACAAGATCAATCTAAATATGATCTGCTATGTTTTTACATTTACTGTGCATCAAAATTAAGGTTTGTGTAGCCAATGTACTAGTGCCTTTTTACTTCAGCTTTTGATGAGAGTTTTAATGATTTACTAAAAACCTAACTTTTTTATTTCAGACCTAATTAAAGACTATGAGGAGATTAAACAGGAGGAACATCATCTCAGAATTGAGGACAGAAATCATTTAGAGACTGATGGCATTTTAAAAGTGAGAGACAAGAGTTGTTTTACCTGCACTCAGTGTGGAAAGAGTTTGGCAAGTAAAAGCAAACTTAAGATTCACATGAGGATCCACACTGGAGAGAAACCATTCACATGCACTCAGTGTGGGAAGAGTTTCAGCCACTCATCACACCTTAATCGACACATGAGGATCCACACTGGAGAGAAACCATTCACATGCACTCAGTGTGGGAAGAGTTTCAGACACTCATCATCCCTTAATGAACACATGATGATCCACACTGGAGAGAAACCATTCACATGCACGCAGTGTGGAAAGAGTTTCAGCAAATCCTTACAACTTAACCAACACATGACGATCCACACTGGAAAGAAACCATTCACATGCACTCAGTGTGGGAAGAGTTTGACAAGCAAACGCAAACTTAGAATTCACACGATGAACCACACTGGAGAGAAACCATTCACATGCACTCAGTGTGGGAAGAGTTTCAGCCAATCATCATACCTTAATAAGCACATGATGATCCACACTGGAGAGAAACCATTCGTATGCACTCAGTGTGGGAGGAGTTTCAACCACTCATCACACCTTAATAAACACATGAGGATTCACACTGGAGAGAAACCATTCACATGCACTCAGTGTGGGAAGAGTTTCAGCCAATCATCATACCTTAATCAACACATGAGGATTCACACTGGAGAGAAACCATTCACATGCACTCAGTGTGGGAAGAGTTTCAGCCAATCATCATACCTTAATCAACACATGAGGATTCACACTGGAGAGAAACCATTCACATGCACTCAGTGTGGGAATAGTTTCAGCCAATCATCATACCTTAATAAACACATGAGGATCCACACAGGAGTGAGACCATTCACATGCACTCAGTGTGGGAAGAGTTTCAGCCAATCATCACACCTTAATCAACACATGAGGATCCACACTGGAGAGAGACCATTCACATGCACTCAGTGTGGGACGAGTTTCAGCAAATCATCAAACCTTAATAAACACATGAAGATCCATACTGGTGTGAGAGAGTAGATGTGCTTGGAGTGTGAGAAGACTTTTATTACAGCTGCAGAATTAAAACGGCACTAGAGGATTCACACTAGAGCAAAACCATATCAAAACCAGTGTTCACAGTGCAGTAAGAGGTTTACTCACTCACGAACCCTTAAAACACATGAGAGGATTCACACTGGAGAGAAACTGTAGACATGATCAGTGTGTACAGAGTTTCACTCTTTGGGGGCAGCTTAAGAAACACATGGGATGGTTTCCAGTATGGCGTCAACACACGTAGCAGCATAGAAAGAGCGTTCCCATACACGCTGGTATTAATCCTCCTTTTTACATCATATATGATAACCTAAACCATATTTAAATAACACGCAGGGGGACAAAAACTAAAAGGCTTGGACAAAATAACCATTGAAACTTGGAAAAAAATGAGAAATCAACAGATGAAAAATCCGAGACGGACGGGGTAGCTGATAGCCTGTCAGCTTGCATTGCAGCAATACATTCAGACATCAAAGTTTTCCAAATGGATATTAAATCTGACTTAACGGCCTTCCAAGATTATCTTGCAAAAGATGTGAAAATGGAACTCAATAACTTTAAACAAGAAGTCAATTAAAAACTGGATGGCCTTTTCACAGACCTAAACGCTATAGCAGATAAGGTCAACAAAGCGGAGCAGCGAGTTGGAGAATTGGAGAACGTTGCTGAGATGAAAGAAATGCTCGATCAAACCATCCAAATTCATGAAAATTTAAAAGAGAAACTGTGAGTTCCTCTTCATAGGGAAACTTTTACGAGTGTCTGTATAAACAGACTTTGGGAGTGCTTTAGACGACCAATCATTTCTAAAGATTTTAAAACGGCCCAATGAAATGCCAATTGAATTGGCAGAGCTTAGCTCCACAGCTGAAACTGATGAGCCAATTAGGGCTATATCAGTCAGCTGTGCGAGTTAGCTCATCCAAATTGTTCCTTCAGACCCGATCTGAGACTGAAGAACCCTTCTGCTGAGCTGACTTCCAACTTGAAGAAAGCCTTACCTTCACCAGTGTGGGAGAAGATGTGTTAGCGGTGGTCCCCTTGGCGTTTCTCTGGTGATCTGAAAGAGCAGTTTACTGAAAGAGCATTATTCCCTATGAGAGCACACGGTCGTACAGCACGTCTTTTTAAAGATGTCGTTTCGACCGTGCGTTTCTGGATGCGGTGGTTTCCTCGCCCCGGATGACAGGCACGAGTATTGGTCACATGCTTGGTGGTCCAACATGTTGATGCAGGGCTCGCGGACAGTTCTTGCCCGCATAGCGACGGCTTGACTGTTGCACTAATTTTTTATTAGGGAAAGTCACCCCTGCTGCTCTTGCCTAGCCTTTAGCACTTGGGCAGGCCTGAGGGTTACAGTGGAGGCTAATCCGTCACCTTCGGGCCCGCGGACCCCTCGCTCCTCTCCAGTGCGCTCTGTTTCTGATTCGAGTGTGAGCGCTGGTCCATCCTCCGAGCTGGGCGTGCTTTCATTAGATGTCACTGGGGGCATGACGTCCATCCCTGCATCGGAGGGTGGGTTGACATGCTCCGAGGAAGATCCGGACCTCCTGCCACCCTTCAGGGTTGTCAGTATGTTTACTGATCTGGAATTGGACATGTTAGCCCTGAAGGACACATATTTTCTCGCCTCCATTCTTCCACGCCACTGCCCCTTTCTCCGGTTCATGTTCAAAGGACGACCATAGCAATACAAAGTCCTCCCCTTCGGGCTCTCTGTCTTCGTGGGTTTTCACCAAGCTCGCGGAGGGTGCCCTGGCACCACTGTGCCTTGCGAGCTTCCGCATACTCTGCTATCGTGACAATAGGCTCTTTCTAGCCTCGTCTCGCGATCAGCTGATTATGTACAGAGACAAAGTGCTTCGGCACCTCGACCAGTTGGTGTTTCAGGTCAACCGCCAATGCGCTCTCATGGCAGCTAGTGTCCCGGGGAGAGTGGAGACTCCACCCCGATTCGGTCCAGCTGATATGGGCATGCTTTGGGGAAGCCCAGTTCAATCTGTTTGCCTCCACCGAGAGACCACAAAGCCAGCCGTTTTATTCCCTGACCGAGGCTCCCCTCGGCACGGATGCATTGGCTTACAGCTGGCCATCGGGCATTCGCAAATATGCCTTTTCCCCAGTGAGCCTAATCGCACAAACTTTGTGCAAAGTCAGGGAGGATGAAAAGCAGGTCTTGATTGTTGCGCCCCTCTGGCCCAACCGGCATGCCTACGCCCTGAAGTGGAGTCTATTCTCTGAGTGGTGCGCTTCTCGCCGAGAAGACCCTCGAACTTGCCAGATTAGCATTGTGTTATCCTTCCTTCAGGATAAGATAGAGCACAGGCTGTCACCCTCCACGTGGCTGCGATCTCCGCTAATCATAACGCGGAAGATGGCAACACGCTCTGGAAGCATGATCTAACATCCGATTCCTCAGAGGCGGACGGCGGTTAAATCCGTCCCGCCCCCCTCTCATGCCCTCTCTGCCTTCTCTAGTCCTAGCGGGTCTGCAGAGAGATCCGTTCGAGCTGCTCGAGTCAGTATCTCTTAAAATTCTGTCATTAAAAACAGCTCTGGTGATCGCATTGGCGTCATTCAAGAGATTTGGAGATCTGGAGGCATTTTCGGTTAGCGAATCGTGCCTTGAATTCGGGCCCGGTTACTCTCACGTTGTCATAAGACCCCGGCCCGACCACCCCATTTAGAGATCAGGTGGTGAACCTGTTTGCGCTGCCTTCGGAGGAGGCAGGCTCAACACACTCACTGCTTTGACCCGTTTGCTATTTGCGCCTTTACGTGGATCAATCGCAAAAGGGGAGGTTGGAAGGTTGCGCTCTTGGTGATGTCAGTGCGCTCACGCTTTGGCTTGGCAAACTACACATCAGGAGCGTGATAGACTAATTGGCTCATCAGTTTCAGCTGTGGAGCTAAGCTCCACCAATTCAATTAGCATTTCATTGGCCCGTTTTAATATCTTCAGAAATGATTGGTCATCTAAAGCACTCCCAAAGTCTATACAGACACACGTCTCCGTTCCCTATTTAGGAAACGTGGGTTACGTACGTAACCAGGACAATCTAGAAACCCACTCCCGTAGAAATAATATTCAGATTTTTGGAATCCCAGAAGGAAGCAAAGTGAATAATAGCCAAGACTTGGTGGAAACGATTATCAAAACAGAGCTGTCACTCGATGAATTGGACCTTAAAATTTAACAGTGTCACCGGGCACTTGGACCAAAACCACCTGCTGACGCACCCCCTTGATCAGTGGTGTATTCTTCCTGGTAAACAAAACAAAGGACCTTGTCCTCCACTTTGCATGGAGAAAAAAAGTAATACACTAGAACAAAAAAAGGATTTTCTTTGACCAAGAAAGACGGCTTTTGCTCCGATAAGAAAAATTCTGAAAGAAAAGGGGATTAAGTTCCAAACACCACCGCCGCAAAACTTAGAATCTTTCTCGAAAACGGTCCGGTCATGTACAATTCGATGACGGAGGCTTTAAGAGATCTGAAAGAAAAAGGACTGATAAACAGCGAAGAAGAAACTATTATAGGAATCTCTTGGAAAGTGAAACAAAGACCTTGACAAAGTTTGGAGTGACATTTGAAGAAAAGTAAGGAAAAACATCAAGCGAAGATCCGGGAAAAACTGCTTGAATTTTAAAGGGACAACACTAGCTCTGTTAGAAAGAAGGGTAAAACCTGACAGATCCTGACAAAGAACTCTGAGAGACTGGTAAAACGTCTTGACTTGATTCACCGATGATGAACATTTAAAGGAGGAATGGTATTTAACCCAACTGACCAAGACACAAGATAAACGATTAAAGCACACCAAGACTCGAGTCATTGAGTAACATACTGGTAGGAAGAAATAAAGGGATTCCAATTTATACACTTAAAATCCCTTGCTATAATTAGAAATATTTAACTCGAAAACCTAACCAGAAATACAAGAATATAATATTGCCAGATATAGGCGCTGAATATATTTGTTATTTTTTGTGCAATAGGCACAGCAAGGGGCCCTTTAGAGAAGGAAAGCTTTCCCCTCACATTAAGAAGTTATTTAAGACTTTAAGTTTTGGAAACGTTTTTCGTTATGTTGTTTATGTGGTTCAAGATGTTCATGTTTGTGTTTTTCATATTCCGGTCACTGTGATCTTCGCAATAACATCTGTTTATAGTATATGCAAAAACAGGAATATAGAGTCATTACTTTAAATATTAATGGGTTAGTAAATTCGATTAAAAGAAGCAAACTCGTGGCTAAAATGAAAAGAGAAAAGCAACAGATAATCTGCCAAGAGACATCTTTCTGATACAGAACATAGGAAATTAGAAAAAAATGGGATTTAAGGTTTTCTTTTCCTCATATAATAATGGTCATAAACGAGGAGTAATGACATTAATCTCAAACAAAATCAGCTTACAATTAATTTCCAAGATTACTGATAAAGAAGGACGATATAACCTCATTAAAGGAACTATCAACCAAAACAAAGTTACATTAGTTGATTTAAATAGACCACCTGAAAAAGACAAAGCATTTCTCAAAAAAATAGTAAGTGTTATAGCCAAGGAGACATCAGGTACGTTGATCAGTGGGGGAGACTGGAATGTACAACTTCACCCTAAATTGGACTCATCTTCTAATAAGCAAATTAGTCAAGAAACTAGACAAATAAGATATCTGATGAAAGAATTAGGCTTAATAGATGTATGGAGAGACATATACCCTCTTAAAAAAAGAACATACTTTCTTTTCTTCCGCCCACATGTCTCATTCTAGAAATGATTATTTTTTAATGTTTGGGTCAGATCAACATAAAATAAAAGACTGTACAATAGGGACAAGGGACATTTCATACCCTGCAGGAGTATATTTAACAGTTTACCTGGACAATAAACCCAAAAGTACATTTTGGCGATTTAACCCTAATCATTTGAATGATTTAATGTGTGTAGAACATGTTAAAAAAAGAACTATTAGAATATTTTAAAACAATAATAATGGAGAGTTGTCACCTAGTATCATATGGGACACAGCTAAAGCTGTTATGCAAGGTAAACTTATAATGTAGGGATCAAGAGGAAAAAAATTGAATTACATGAATAATCTGAATAAAGAATTAGAGACTAAATATGTTAATAAAGAAGATCCAGATATTTTAATAAGATCAAAGAAGTTAAAGCTAAACTCAATAAAATATTCGATGAGCAAGTTCAATTAAAACTTACATTTTTAAATTTTATGAAAATGGTCCAAAAGCTCCTGGCATGAAGAATAAGGAAACAGGCAGAGAGGATTATATTTAAAATCAAAGATCCCAAAACTAAAAAGATATGTCATAAATTGGAGGAAGAAATTAGTAAGGAATTATATACCTCAAAAGATAATATTGAACTTGCAAACATACAAGCATTTTTACACACATTAGATTTACCATCAATTGGATCAATACAAAATAAAACCCTAATTTAAAAAAAATAACCATAGAAGAAATAAGCAATGCTATATCAAAACTTAAAACATCTAAAGTACCAGGCATATATGGCTTCCCTGCAAAATAGTATAAAATATTTAAAGAACAGTTGATGTCATACCTTACGTGAGGGTGAACCCACCTAGATCCTGGAGAGAAGCTATCATATCTGTGATTCCAGAAGGAAAATATCCACTATAGTGTAATTCATATAGACATATTTCAGTCCTGAATATGGACTATAGACTCTATGCATCTATATCAGCTAAACAATTAGAGGACATTTTTCCAGACCTATTAGATACTGATCAAACAGGTTTTTTAAAACAAAGACAAGTTTATGATAATATATGGCGAGCCCTTCACGGATCCAACAGCTAGAATTAAAATGAACAGAGATATTTCAGAACATATTATATTAGAAAAAGGATATTGACAAGGATGACCATTAAGTCCTTCTTTATTTATTGAACCATTGGCACAACTAATCAGAGATGATACAGAAATAAGGGGAGTGAAAATTAAGAAAGATATTGAACATAAAATTTGTTTATACGCTGATGATGTGTTTCTGTTTCTTACATACCCAGACTTTAGTTTACCCAAGGTGATGTATTCTCTTGAAAAATTTTATAATTATATTCAGGATATAGATTAATTAGATGATTATTATTATAAGGCAGCACAGCTTAGACACAGAGTTTGTTGGTGCAATGACAAATACTGTGCAAAGTGGAAAGAATTTGAACAATTACAAATCCACTGACCTCTCCAAGTATTATTAGGAGATAGAAATTTCCAACATACAGAATTGCATAAATTGAATTCCCTGACAAAGACACCTTTGAAAATTTGGTACAAACAATTAAAGCTAACATATTAAGACAAGCTAAGATATTAAGATGGGTTGAACATGATATTTAATTTAAACCAGCAAAACTAGATCTAAGATTTAAACAATGGAGTTTGCAAGGCATAACATCCTTCTGTCTCATCACTACTGAATTAGAAAGTTTTTAACAAATTTCCAATATATATATAACTTATATAAACAAAACTTTCCATTACCTTCAAGTTAGAGACTACTTCAATAAAAACATAAGAGATTCAGTAGACATAAAAACAACAGTAGTGCAGGTATTTATAGATGCTTACAAAAAGAAGGTTAATTAAGAAACTAGTATCAAGAAATTATTCCTGTCTGACATTAACAAAGAAACACTTAACAATGTATATCAAACAGAAATGTGAAAGGGAAGCCAATATAATAACAAATAAGGAATGGTTACCCATTTGGGAAACACAGACAATCACAATTTAGATTCATGGAGGGAATTTATTTGGAAAAATGTAATCAGGTTCTTTATAACACCTGAAATAAAATACTTTCAAACTAGAGATTAAAAAAATGGTGAATGCTGGAGAAAATGTGGAAATGTTTCGGCAGATCATGTCCACATATTTTGACACAGTAATATTATACACACCTATTGGCAAGATTTAAATAAAGAGATAAATACAATAAAGGGATTGAATCTGGAATGTAATTTTAAAACTATGTACCTGGGAATTTACTCAAAAATACCAAAAACGATGTGTATCTTCTTAACACACTACTAACAACTAGCAAAAAGGCCATTACAAAGAAATGGCTCAAGGAAGATCCTGCATCTGTAGGCGAATGGTATGATATTGTTAAAGAGGTGTATGACATAGAAGTACTGACATTTACTTTGAGACAACAAGCCTATAACATTTCTGCATACTGAGGTAAATGGTTGAGAAGAAAAGTATTGTTTTTATTTCATTGTGGTGCTTTTATTTTATATATGTTTGGAGCCTGTTGATCTTTGACATGTAACCCTAAACAAAATGTTATATTTTATCAACAATAAATACAAATGTAAATACGATTGTATTCTGTGACCTTTGACACTTGTTAGTCTTTTTTGTTTCTAAGTTCCTTTGAAAATGTCTGTTTGCTTGATTTTTTTATTGCTGTTTTGTTTTAAACTGTTTTTAAAAAGGAAAAAAGGTCAGTATCATCATCATCCTGACGCAAGCACACAGCGTTCAGCATGTAGTTTTGCTGCTGTTAGATCAAAATCTGTCTTTATAAATTATGTCTGACATTTTACAATGAAGTCTGTCCAAAATAGATTGACTTTTTTCTCTTTTGCTTAAATAAATTATTATTGTATTTGACTGTAATTATCTTTTTTAATTAGGCTAATTGCCTTATTCTCCTCAAAGAGCAGTTCTCATACAGAGCCTGTTATTTCAGTGTTTTTTCCAGGATATTGTGGATATTTGTGGATTCCTTCTTTCTTGTCCTCGGCTGATCACATGGAAAAAGGAAAATGACGGAAAAATTGGTAATTTGATCATTAAGTTGTTTTTCCCTGGCATTTTCCTTTTCATATTTATTTAAACTATCACATCACTTTTCAGGTGAAGGGGAAACAGTGTTGTACTTATCTGAAAAAGCTTCATATGTTTTAAATAATGAAGTGTATTTTCTCATTTAGAGGATTGCATGTTTTTAAATAGAATAAATAGTTTAAATGATCATTAATTACATCCCAACATTGTGTCTGTGTTTACACTTTTATTAAGTTTAAAAAGCATATAAATCCACTGAAACAGAACTTTGTGACACTGGGTCATTTCTGCAACTTTTTAATAAGAATATGTGAAATAACGGCACAATAGAAGACTGTATATAATAGTAATATCAAATAATGACTACACTAAAGAAAATAAACAACTTCCAGTATATACAAGTGCAAACAAATGAACAAAATCTGAACATTGTTAAAACAACATAACAACAACATATAGATGAGTGCGAGGGAGGGTTATGTGCAGCTTCAGCATACTTACCAGGCTGTAATTCCACGTGTTGTACAAAATCCAGAGAGAGAGGAGAGAATATAGAGTAACCTACTCACACTCTCACTGTTGCGTAAAGAAAACTTATGAGAAAAAAAAGAGCAAAAGACAAGAGAAAATACAATTCTCTGGAGGTAAAGGTGAATGGTTTGTAAGGCTCACTCATTCAGCCTATTACAACCAAGTATCTATTTGGAGAGCAATGTTGGTGCTTGGCAGTGCAGAAAGAGTACTCCAGGGTGAGAAGAGTAGTGATCCAGAGTCCAGAGAGAGAGGAGAGAATATGGCCACAGGTGGAAACTTGGAGTTGGACATGTTAGAAGTGAGTGAGTATGGGGGATGGAAAGATGTTGTTTTAAAGGATGTTGTTGCAAAAGTTAACGTCATCTTTACCGAAAATAGCAGCAAATACATACAGAAATGCCGTAGTCCAGCCCCCAACAGGAAAGTGAGTACATACATGACGGGGTGGCCGAGTCCATCGAATCACATTTTTGTCGTTCATTTGCTCTGTCGATCATACGGCAAAATTGAAAGTCATCTTACCGAAAATAGTTGCAGAAACATACATTTACAAATATGTGCCATAGTCCGGCCTCCACCAGAGAAAAAGAAAAATACGTGACGAGGTGGCCGAGTGGTTAAGGCGATGGACTGCTAATCCATTGTGCTTTGCACGCGTGGGTTCGAATCCCATCCTCGTCGCTCATATGTTCTGGCATTCGAGAGATCATGGTGTTTCCGCAGAAGTTCTCTCAATCTTTTAGCGATTTGAAGGATGTTGTTGCAAAATTTTATGGCAACTTTATCGAAAATAGCTGCAAATACAAACATATATGCCATAGTCCAGCCCCCATCATGAAAGTGAGTACATACATGACGGGGTGGAAGAGTCCATCGAATCCCATCCTTGTCGTTCAAATGCTCTGGCGTTTGAAAGAGGCCGGTGCTTCTGTGGAAGGTGTTTTACTCGCACGCTCTTATCGTTTTGAAGGATGTTGTTGCAAAATTGAACGTCATCTTTACCGAAAATAGCAGCAAATACATACAGAAATGCCGTAGTCCAGCCCCCAACAGGAAAGGGAGTACATACATGACGGGGTGGCCGAGTCCATCGAATCCCATTTTTGTCGTTCATTTGCTCTCTCGTTCATACAGCAAAACTGAAAGTCTTCTTACCGAAAATAGTTGCAGAAACATACATATACAAATATGTGCCATAGTCTGGCCTTCACCAGAGGAAAGAAAAATACGTGACGAGGTGGCCGAGTGGTTAAGGCAATGGACTGCTGATCCATTGTGCTTTGCACGCGTGGGTTCGAATCCCATCCTTGTCGCTCATATGTTCTGGCTTTCGAGAGATCATGGTGTTCTCTCACTCTTTTAGCGTTTTAAAGGATGTTGCAAAATTTTATGTCAACTTTATTGAAAATAGCTGCAAATACAAAGATATATGCCATAGTCCAGCCCCCATCATGAAAGTGAGTACATACATGACGGGGTGGAAGAGTCCATCGCAATCCCATCCTTGTCGTTGAAATGCTCTGGCGTTTGAAAGAGGCCGGTGCTTCTGTGGAGGGTGTTTTACTCGCACGCTCTTATCGTTTTGAAGGATGTTGTTGCAAAATATAACGTCATCTTTACCGAAAATAGCAGCCAATATATACAGAAATGCCGTAGTCCAGCCCCCAACAGGAAAGTGAGTACATACATGACGGGGTGGCCGAGTCCATCGAATCCCATTTTTGTCGTTCATTTGCTCTGTCGATCATACGGCAAAATTGAAAGTCATCTTACCGAAAATAGTTGCAGAACCATACATATACACATATGTGCCACAGTCCAGCCTCTACCAGAGAAAAAGAAAAATACGTGACGAGGTGGCCGAGTGGTTAAGGCGATGGACTGCTAATCCATTGTGCTCTGCACGCGTGGGTTCGAATCCCATCCTCGTCGCTCATATGTTCTGGCATTCGAGAGATCATGGTGTTTCTGTAGAAGTTCTCTCACTCTTTTAGCGTTTTGAAGGATGTTGTTGCAAAATTTTATGTCAACTTTATCGAAAATAGCTGCAATTACAAACATATGCCATAGTCCAGCCCCCATCATGAAAGTAGGTACATACATGACGAGGTGGAAGAGTCCATCGAATTCCATCCTTGTCGTTCAAATGCTCTGGCGTTTGAAAGAGGCCGGTGCTTCCGTGGAAGGTGTTTTACTCGCACGCTCTTATCGTTTTGAAGGATGTTGTTGCAAAATTTAACGTCATCTTTACCGAAAATAGCAGCAAATACATACAGAAATGCCGTAGTCCAGCCCCCAACAGGAAAGTGAGTACATACATGACGGGGTGGCCGAGTCCATCGAATCACATTTTTGTCGTTCATTTGTTCTCTCGTTCATACGGCAAAACTGAAAGTCTTCTTACCAAAAATAGTTGCAGAAACATACATATACAAATATGTGCCACAGTCCGGCCTCCACCAGAGAAAATAAAAATACATGACGAGGTGGCCGAGTGGTTAAGGCAATGAACTGCTAATCCATTGTGCTTTGCATGCGTGGGTTCGAATCCCATCCTTGTCCTAGAGAGGAGCAAACTTGAACAAAAAGATTAAAATACAGTATGTTAAGATTCCTAAGCAGTTTAAAAGTGATTGTAGTTGTACCAAATCAAGTTGTACCTGCAAAATAGTTGTTATTTAGTGTGTTTAAGAGTGTGTTGAAGTCAGACCGCATGTTGCATTGCATTTACAGTGCGCTGACGCCATTTTGCAATCGCGTGTGTGTGAGAAGACCATAGAGTGATATAGACATCGTGAATTTGACAGGTATACCATTATATTAGCTCATTTTATGGTAAACATGTGTGTGTATGTGTTTTATTTGTTCCACGTGTTGTATATTTTGTATGTTTTTAAAATTATTTTGAACATATTAAACTTATTTATATATTCTGGTCTGTGATCAGGCCAGGTTTTTTTCTGAGGACATTTTCCCAGTTTCACTGGATTCCTTGTATTGATGGCGAGCCTCCTACATCGACCTGGAAAATTGTGAAGTACACATATTTCAATTTATCCTCATTTCACCGGATAAAGTAAGAATTTGCCAAAATGTTAATTCCTTTATTGGACTGCGATTTTTAAATACAGCTCTAAGGACTGATTTTCTTAGAGGGAAAAAACAGAACTTTATCTGAATTTAACTCATTTCACCAATTTCAGAGTGAACAACGACACTGATTTATTTGTGTTATTTTATGTATTCTTTTGTTTTCACTTGAATTCATTTATTGTGATTTGTGTTTGATTTAAAATAATTGTAAAGTGGGTGCACCCTGGGGTTGTGTATAAATAGTTATGTTACTGATGTAAGTACTGTTTACTAAGACAAATACGAAAAGGAAAAAATTCATACAATCTAAAGTAAAATAATTTTTGTATTTAAAACATTCAACAACAGTTTGTCTTTGGTTATTGCTCAGTTTCACCCCCACCCCCTTTTACTTACCTTGTAACCTTCTGGTTTTTATTGTCTGGTCCAATAATAAATAAATATAGTACACCTGTTACACTTGGATGGGAGACCGCCTGGGAATGCCAGGTGCTGTAAGCTTTTTGAAGTCCTTCATTTGGCAGCTGATAGACTTCCCCGTGTCACAGCTTCGCTGCCATTATTTTTTCTCGCCTTCAAGGGCATTGTTTCGGTCGGTGCTGTGTCGATGCCAGCTGAGCTGCGCTCGTTCCCTGGTGCTGCGCCTGTTTTAAATAGCCAACTCTTGACGGCCTCTTTCGCTTACGGCCATACCACCCTGAGCACGCTAGAGGGAGCTAGAGTGCAACGAGGAAGTGTAAGGCTGCAGACAGGAGAGAGAGGCTCTCCATTTTTTTGTGTTATTTTGAGTTTATTTAGTGTCTTTTTTGTGATAGTGGACTTTTTTTGATTTTTTTGTCTTTTAACCACCTGACAGCAGCACGTGTGCTGGCTGGAAGGTGGTTAGCACAGTTTTTTTGAGAGAAAATGATGGACTCACAAAGCAACAGCACAGATTTGTTTGATGAAGCACATGGGGAAAACATCACAGGAAGGAGTGGAGAAAGACAAAAAGAAAACAGCACTGGATTACGAGGGGAAAGACAATTGGAAAACAACACTGGACAGGAAGGAGAAAGAAACAGGGTAAACAAAGAACGACAAGAAAACCAACAATGCAAATGCAACAACAAAGAAGTGGAAAAAAGTACATGAAGGAAGCAACAGTGATTCTAAATGTGGACAAAGTTAAAGAGGTGAGAGTTTTGGAAATAATT